GAGATGGTCGAATTCAAAAACCTCAGGACACTGAGAAGAGCATTCAGCAAGCTCACTGCCCTGGACTTCAAGAAAGCCTCTTCAGGAACCTGCTTTGTAAGATTCCATGGGATAAAGACCTAGAGGGCAGGGGAGCCCAAGACTGTTGATCGATATTCAAGGATCACATACTGCAAACTCAGGAGTGTTGCATCCCAACTAGAAGGAAGTGCAGCAGGAGGGCCAAGAGACCTCCTTGGATGGATAAGGAGCTGCTGAGGAAACTTCGAGGGGAAAAAAAGAGGCTTATAAAAGGTGGAAGCAAGAACAGATGGCTTGGGAAGAATACAGGGATGGTGTCTGGGAAGCTGGAGACCAGGTTAGGAAAGCTAAAGCCCAGTTAAAATTAAACTTGGCTAGGGATGTGAAGGACAACAGGGATTCTATAGGTACGTAGCAAATAAAAGACTAGGGACAACGTGGGCCCTCTCCAGAAGCTATCAGGAGAACAGGCTACCCTGGATTTGGAGAAGGCTGGGGTTCTGAATGACTTCTTTGCCTCAGTCTTAACTGGCAAATGCTCTGACCACACCACCCAAGTCTTGGAAGGCAGACACAGGGACTGTGAGAATGAAGACCTTAGGCCCACTGAAGGAGAGGATCTGGTTTGAGACCATCTTAAGAACCTGAATGTGCACAAGTCCATGGGACCTGATGAAATCCATCCGCGGGTCCTGAAGGAGCTGGCAAATGAAGTTGCTAATCCACTGCCCATCATATTTGAAAAATCATGGCAGTCAGATGAAGTTCCTGACAACTGGAAAAAGGGAAATATAACCCCCATTTTCAAGAAGGGGAAAATGGATGACCCAGGGAACTACAGACCAGTCAGTCTCACCTCTGCGCCTGGCAAAATCTTGGAGCAGATTGTCCTGGAAGGCATGCTAAGGCACATGAAAAACAACAAGGGACCTCAACACACTTGTGAGGTGGGCTGATGCCAACCTGATGAAGTTTAACCATGCCAAGTACAAGGTCCTACATCCAAGAGGGAGCAATCGCAGGCACACCTACAGGTTAGGCAGAGAAGAGATTCAGAACAGACCTGTGGAGAAGGACCTGGGGGTGCTGGTGGATGAGAAACTTAACATGAGCCAGCAGTGTGCGTTTGCAACCCAGAAAGCCAACCGTATCCTGGGCTACATCAAACAGAACGTGACCAGCATTTGAAGGAGGTGATCTTGCCCCTCTACTCTGACATCGCAAGACCTCACTTGGAGTATTTTGTACAGTTCTGGTGTCCTCAACATAAAAAGGACATGGATCTGTTGGAACAAATCCAGAGGAAGACCATGAGGATGATTCAGGGTGCTGGAGCACCTCCCGTATGAAGATAAGCTGAGAAAGTTGGGCCTGTTCAGCCTGGAGAAGAGAAGGCTGCGTGGAGACCTCCTAGCAGCCTTCCAGTATCTGAAGGGGGCCTATAGGGATTCTGGGGAGGGACTCTTCATTAGGGACTGTAGTTATAGGACAAGGGGTAACAGGTTAAAACTTAAACAGGCAAAGTTTAGATTGGATATAAGGAACATGTTATTTACTGTGAGGGTTGTGAGGCACTGGAAGGGGTTGCCCAGGGAAGTTGTGAATGCTCCATCCCTGGCAGTGTTCAAGGCTGGGTTGGACAGAGCCTTGGGTGACATGGTTTATTGGGAGGTGTCCCTGTCTACTATGGCAGAAGGGTTGGAAGTTGATGATTTTAAGGTCCTTTCCAACCTTAACTATTCTATGATTCTATATGTACATATGCAAACGTATGCATAGATATGTCATTATTGAGATTAAAAATTAAGGGAATCAAAAATATAAGAAAGTCAATTATTGTATTGTAGCTTCTTACTGTGTAGCAAAATACTTAATTTCTCTGGCCATATTACTTAGTACTTGGTTTTGTCCTGGGTTTTTTTTTAGCCTGTGGACAGTGGGAGCTACTGTTCACAAGACAAAATGAAGAGGGCAGAGGAGGGAAAGGAAAAATAGTAAGATAGAGAAAACCAGACGATAAGTGAGACAAGGAGAGAAGTGGAACTAGAAAGCAGATGATAAATTAAAAGGATAAGAGATTAGGTAAAATTCAGAGAAAAGGGAAGCAAAATATTTTAGCATCAGCAACAAAGGAAAATGCACTATGTCCTCTGGAAGGGACTTTAACAGCTGTTTCTGGCACTAATGTCAGGGTAACAGAAGACATGCCTGTGCTGCATACTGTCATCTGGTAGACAAATTCATGGCATATGTAAATAGTTTAAATGAATTATGTTGAGCACTGAGAACTGTCTAGCCAGAGCAGCATGGATGCTCTGTGGTCTTCTTTCTCCTGCCAAGACTGGTTTGTCTGTGTTGTAATGAGTAGGGAATAGTCTGTTCAGTTTTTCATAACAGCCTCATTACCAAAGCACGTGAACACTTAATATGATCATAAAGTTTACAGTGTTCATGCTTATTACTCATGATCTGGATCTGAAAATTAGATACTTTTTTTTGTTCCTTTTAGTAACACAATTGTTTGCATGTAACAAAAATTAAAATAATGAAAACTTTAGAGTATAATGTTTGGGGGGGGGAGGTTTGTCTTTATACATTGAAAAATAAATTCCTTGCTTAGCTCTAAAATAAATCCATTCAGGAGGTGGTTGAGATAAGTGGTTGAGATGTTGTCTCTCAAGCTATAATCAGCTGATTTTTTCAGGATACATTATTTATGAGAAATATGCAATTTATTTTATTAATCAAAAGTTTTTGTTATTTAATGGCTGAAAATATATAAAATGCTAATTTCTACTTAATGTGAAATGTATTTTTTCCCTTTGAAAGTCTGGATAACACCTTAGAGGAAATTATATTTAAGCTGGTGCCTGGACTTCAGGAACTTAAGTTTTTTGTTTGGTTTTGGGCCACCTGCTTGGGTTGATGGAGAGAATATGGTCAATTCTAGTGATATACCTGTAGTATTGATTTAAAAATTCACGCTTAATTCTGCAATGTATCTTTATTAGATAGAGTCTAAAGGTTTCCCCAAGTCCTGTTCAACAGTCCCCACAGTTAAAGACACTGAGTATTCTGAACACAGAGTTCATAAACCTAACTAAAATAATTTCATTTTGCAAAGGCAGTGCAAATACCTAAGCTGATTTCCTATAATACTCTAAGTACTAAATTTCCAACAAAGACCATCAGCCATATACAACAATCATTCATGTAACACACAGAACTATCTTGGTTGGTCAAGCAAACAAAAAGAAATACCCAGCACACACACACACACCCCCGAGACAAACAACATATTGCATTTACTGCCATAAAGCACATTTCATCCTGGCTCCACCACACACCCTCACTTCTACCCCCACTGGTCTCAGTATTGTAACAGACCCCTGAGGTTCAGCTTTAGAACTGGGGCCTTAAATTCTGGCCAACATCTGATCCACAGTCACCCAAACTTTTGGCTCACCTCACTGTCCTGCGTGATTTGGACTTGCTCACCTTGAGGAACCTGGGCTATGTGGAGATGGCCCTGTGGGATCCACAACAAAAGAAAACACCAAGAAGCATCAGAAGACAATCATAACTAGAGGAAGAGGAAGAACCTTGGATTCAATACAGCTTAACATATAGAAGCAAAATGCTTATTCAATGAAAAACACTAAAGACAGCTTTAAAAATAATTGAGTGCATACATCTTGTTATGCAAAGTATAAGCAGAGGGACTTTGAGGAAAGAATGGTTCATTTTCACATAAGATGAAATAAAATAGGCATAATAACATTTATGTAGCACATTTTTCTATAGATAAAGTGTCTGCATTTTTGATTGAGACACAAAGTATGGGACTGACTTGCTTTGGCAGATTAGCATTGTGCATGAAACGTTAATCTCATTTAAAGACCTTGGAAACTCAGTTCTTAAAACAAATATGCCAAGACTACCTATTCACTAAGAGTGAGATTTGAAAAGGTATTTGTAAGTGTCCATAGATCTTTGTGCATTCACATAGTTATGATTTAGCACCATGCTAAAGACTCTCAGGCTGCTGTAAATTGGCATGAAATCATCAATTTGAATGCAGTTATACTGGTTTATGTTAGTGGAGAATCGTCCTTAACAGTTTTAATAATGTTAATACTTTGTATTGCTGACCATACCCACCACTTCAGAACAGTATTAACCCTAACATTTGATCAAAACAGAGATATGAGTGGACAGAATTCCTCGTGCATCCTGACTAGCCTAGCAAAGCCTTAGCTACTGTGATTTACCTGAAGGGAGATTGGATTATAAATAACCTACTTCAGGGTTTATAAGGCTTTGCTTTCATTTTAATATGCCTGCATGAGACAGAGATGAAAGATAATAATTTAGAATTCTGTCAAAGCCTCCTCTTATTTTATAACACGAGAATAATTGCATGTGATTTTCAAAGAAACACAGATCCCTCTATTTCAAACAGTTTCATTTCCTCTGAAAGGAAACTGTCTATTCATAGAAAGAAAAAACATACTGTAAGTATCACTCTGACAATATGGACTGTATATAAAATTATAGCACAGCCCAGTCCATGTTGATATTAGAATCACTTCACCTCTTTAACATCAAGCTCTCAGGGCTTCCAGGAAAAAGCACTGAACATTTAAAAGACCCATTTATAGTGTTTTCAACTATAAGCCACCCTTTCTGACTAAAGGGAGGGGGGAAGAAGGCGACTTGATTAATCTTTATATCATGCAGCACTCCAAAAAAGAACTTCTCACTCATCTTTTGCAGATACATAGCTGGCCTTCAAGAACAGTGCTTTTTGTTTATTCATAAATTCAAGTCAATACTGATTTATTTTGCTTTTAAACGTATGTACTATAACTAACTACTACCTTACTAATGACTCTTAGCCTGATCTATAATGCAATTTCCTCTCCACACCTCTTACAGTTGCTGTCTGGAGTTCTTCCCAATAACTTTCATCTCAAACCCTTTCCACTTTCATGCGCTCCTTAAAAAATATCCTGGGTAATGTTTAAGTTCTCCTTTTAAGCAATGCTTACAAGCTCTACCAATTGCTATCAACACTGTGCTGCACATCTTGAAATCTTCCCCCAGTTTCCACGATTCCTCTACTACTAACTCTGGTAAACTTTCTGCAGGTCTTATAGACATGTCTATTTTCTAACATTCCAAAAGCATCTGTCCTTCATAGCCCTTTTTTCTTCATCATCTTTCAGAGCAATGTCACCATTTCCATGGTATTTGCAGGTCTACATGACCAGACTTGAGTATTCCCTATGTTGATAGAAAGCTTTCATTCTTTATGTGTCAGTTATTCAGTTGGGTAGATTTGCTCCTTCTCTCCTGCACTGCCTCTCTTACCTGGGGAAAGAATACTATAAATATCTGTCAAAGAGGCTTCATTATCCCACTTCAAACTCTTTGTAATGGTGTTGACTAAAACCCTTGCAACAACCAGACCACCAGGTACTACAGTTTATATCATTATATAACATCTCTCAGTAATTCTTGATTATTTGCCCATTTCCACCTGTTTCTTTAGCCTGGTTTCTAAGGAAAGTGGGCTTATGTGGTCATCATGCCTGTGCATGCTTCTGTTCTGTGCTTGGATACTACCTTGCCTAGTTGAGTGGAGTTTTAAGGATTGTGTTTTGGTTTAATTTGAATTTAAAACAATCCTTGTAGCCAAACTGTATCACACAGGAATTAAAGCCAAGGTGAGGTTTTTCAGAGTACACTAAAACCATATTTAAAAAAAATTCATGGCCTGAAGTATGGTATGAGTCTCAGGCTTAAAAAAATGTAAATATCACTTTTAATTAAAATACATGTATCTAAATGAATACACACATAAAGGATTCAGCTAGCAGATATTCAAAAACGCCTGAGAATGCAGGGGGGGTTAAATGAAAATAAATAAATGAATTCTTGTTTTGAATGTCATAGCTGGAACTACCTCTAAAGTGTAAATCACACACTTAATAGGTCTGCCATTATTATTGTGGCAAGTGCAAGCAAATGGCCAGGTAGAGACTAAGTCATTCTATATATAGTAATGGATGTGCATTTATTTGCAAGAATTGTGAAATCAAATCCTGCATGAAGGTTTTTGCCAAATAGGGTTTTTTCATAAGCCTTCAATATTTATTTTCTGAAAATCACACTTAAATAATGAAAGGTCACTTCAAAATAAATAAATGAAAAAATTAAACTAACCCAAAGTTTGCAATAAGCTACTTTGTTTAAATGGAGTAATTTAGAAAAAGTTGAGTACATACTACTTGGACTTGCCCATCTTCTCCTATTTGGTGGATCTGAACCTGCTGAGCGTTGGCTAGCGTATAGTGTAGTGCTTGGGGCTGGTTCTGCTGAATCTCATTAGAAGCTGAAATTGAACTCCGTGAACCCTCTGAAAGAGACAAAAATCCAGGTTTATTAAATGTGTCGATCTCATGGCAGTGGCCATGGAACAATGCATTAAGATTTAAAAACTGGAAAACAAATACAATCAGTAAGTAGACATAGATCATTTGTACGTTAGTATTCTTACACATTCATTGCTCACCTGTAGATTTGCCTACAAATTCCCAAAGAGTTCCACAGGCTATTTTGTCTCTGAGAAAGCATATGTTTAAAAGCATCTTTTGAATCTATATTAAAGATTCTACAACAGTAAAAGTCATATTACAGCAAAACCACACACGTTTCCTAATCAGCAGCCCCTACAAAAAAAGAAGACACCTGGTGTTATCTTCGGGGAACAGGAAAACCATTGCGTGATTTCAAGTGGATAACAACTTGCTATTAGAAGCAGATGCATCATAGATTCCTTTCTACGTTTTCCAGCTGCAGGGAAAGGATTCTTCTAAATCTAATGGTACAAATGCTTTCCTACAGACCAAGACCCCACTAGCAGGTAAATGTATCACTAGATTACATATTCCCTCCAGCAATCAGGGAAAAATCCTGGGGCTATTGATCAATGACATAGCACATGTAACAAGTTCAAGTAGGCTTTGGAAGGAAAAACCTTTAAAATGCCCCAGAATCATACTAATATCATATAGCAGCACACTAAGATTCTGCAACAGTAATAATTTTCTTCTCTTTTTTTTTTTTTTTGAGACATATTTGAGAATAGGACTGTCAGAAATGAATTTTAGAATAATGCATTGCTTGAAGAAATACATTTTACATACAGCAATCCTGTAAACAATTTTAACATTTGTCTTTTATAATGCCACAAAAATACACTGAATGAAATCTCTGAAGCATTGAGTGGTTTAATTTTTTTTGAAATTACTTATTCCTCCGACAATTACTTCTATGCTAAAAAATAATGTAAAACATACTGACATACAATATGGTCAATTGCTGAGGCGAGTAGCTCAAGAGAGGACGCCTTCAGCATCAGAGCGGAGAGGAAATCAGCATCCAGAAGCCTCAACTCAGAGCAGCAAGAGCCACTGAGGAAGCCTCAAGTTCTCGACAGAACTTGGCCAGGAGCCTGCAGCTCAGCTGATGGGAGCAGCTGACTCACAGGGGGCAGAGCCAGGAGGAGCGGCACCAGCCCTGAGTGGTTAAAAACCCACCCCCAGGGAGCACAGAGAACAGGAGAGGTTGAGGCAGTTTGTGTGGGATGGTGAGTACTTACCTTATGACCAGGGCTCGGTCTGGGAGCTCTGCTCTGGCTGCAGCCACAGTAGGCACCCAGACAGAGCAGATGAGAAGGAAGGGTGCAGTGCAGAGCTTGGACTATAGAGAGTGCCTGCACTGGTCTTGTGAGAGAAAGGTGCCCAATGGGCAGGGCAGCACTTGGTACTCCCTGGTGGAGGTCCTCCTGCAGCAGGTGGCTGAGCTGTGGGATGCTATTAATAGGCTGCAAGATGTCAGGGAATCTGAGAGGAAGCAGGACTGCTTGCTCCAGGCCCAAACTGTGCAGAGGCCTCAAGCTTCCCCTCTACCTCATGAAGGAAAGAAGGAGGCCATTAACCCGGGAAGCTGGGAAATAGTAACAAAAGAAGCCAACAAAAAAAGGAGGAAGAGAACAATTAACAGCAAGGGGCTTCCTCCTAAATCTGTTGTCCCCACCCAGAACTGCTTTGCTGTCCTGCAGGGGGCTCATGAGGAAACCCATTCCCACCAGAAACAGCTGGCTGATGCACTGGTAAAGAAGATCTCTACTGGTGCTGCAAGGAAAAAGTGGCAGGTCATAGTAGTAGGGGACTCTACTTTGAGAGGAACAGAAGCACTCATTTGTTGGCCTGACCCAGTCTCAAGGGAGGTGTGTTGCCTACCTGGGGCAGGGAGCAGGGATGTTGCAGAGAGGCTGCCTGGTCTAGTAAGTCCCAATGACTATTACCCACTTCTATTGATCCATGTGGGTGCTAGTGATATAGATAGTAGCAGCCTGGGGAACATAAAGAAGGACTACAGAGCCCTAGGAGAGGTGGTTAGGGGCTCTGGAGCTCAGGTGGTCTTCTCATCAATTCTCCAGGATACAGGGGAGGACCTTAGGAAAGCTAGGAGGACTGGCTAGGTTAACAAATGGTTAAAAAGGTGGTGTCACAGTCAGGGGTTTGGGTGTCTTGAATATGGGACCCAAGTTTGTAGGCCAGGTCTACTGGGAGCTGGTGGAGCTGCTAAAGGGGAAGAGCAGTTTTGGTAGGAGGCTTGCCAGGCTAGTCAAGAAAGCTTTAAAGTAGATGTGTTGCAAGAGGGGGGCATCATTCCATCCCAGCACACCCAGTCAGTATCCAGTACCTATAATAAATGCTTGGAGCAATGTAGAGATATTCCAGCTGCTCCAGGCAATGAGCCAGCTTCATTTGGAGCTCTGTTCAGACGCCTCTATACAAATGCCCATATTATGAGGGACAAACAAGAGGAAATAGCGCTACGTGCATGTCTATGGGGGTATAATATAACAGCATCACAGAAACATGGTGGGATGCCTCCTATGACTGGAGTGATGGAATCCAAGGTTACATGCTCTTTAGAAAAGAAAGGCTCGGCAGGCGGGGAGGGGGAGTAGCTATTTATTTTAGGGACAGGCTGGACAGTATGGAACTCTGTCTGGGGACAGGTGAGCAGTCAACAGAGAGTTTGTGGGTCACGGTTAAAGGGAGAACAGCTATGGGGGACATTACTGTGGGGATCTGTAACAGATGGGCTGATCAAGAAGAACCTGCAGATGAAGCACTCTATAGACAGATAGGAAAAGCCTCACTCTCACAGGCCCTTTTCCTCATGGGGGACTTCAAACACCCTGACATCTGTTGGAAGGATGGTATGGCCAACCATAAGCAATCCAGGAGGTTCCTCGATTGTGTGGAAGACAACTTCCTCTTGCAAGTAACAGAGGAGTCAACAAGGAGAGGTGCAATGCTTGACCTCGTGCTCACCAACAGGGTAGGGTTCATTGGAAATGTGACACTCCAGGGAGCCTTGGATGCAGCGACCACGAGATGGTTGAATTCAAGATCCTCAGGACAGTAAGAAGAGCCTGTAGCAAGCTCACTGCCCTGGACATTGACAGAGCAGACTCTGGCATCTTCAGGAACCTGCTTACTAAGATTCCATGGGATATAGCCCTAGAGGGCAGGGGGGCCCAAGACTGTTGGTTGACATTCAAGGATCACCTGCTACAAGCTCAGGAGTGTTGCATCCCAACTAGAAGGAAGTGCAGCAGGAGGGCCAGGAGACCTCCTTGGATGGATAAGGAGCTGCTGAAGAAACTTCAAGGGGGGAAAAAAAGAGGCTTATAAAAGGTGAAAGCAAGGACGGGAATCCTGAGAAGAATACAGGGAAGTTTTCCAGGAAGCTAGGGACCAGGTTAGGAAAGCTAAAGCCCAGTTAGAATTAAACTTGGCTAGGGAGTTAAGGATAACAGGAAGGGATTCTATAGGTACGTAGCGATTAAAAAACAGACTAGGGACAATGTAGGCCCCCTCAGGGAGGTATTGGGAGAACTGGCTACACAGGATTTGGAGAAGGCTGAGGTTCTGAACGACTTCTTTGCCTCTTCACTGGCAAAGGTTCTGACCACACCGCCCACGTCTTGGAAGGTAGACACAAGGACTGTGAGAATGATGACCCTAGGCCCACTGAGGGAGAGGATCTGGTTCAAGACCATCTTAAAAACTTGAACGTACACAACTCCATGGGACCTGATGAAATCCATCCGCGGGACCTGAAGGAGCTGGCAAGTGAAGCTGCTAAGCCACTGCCCATCATCTTTGAAAAATCATGGCAGTCAGGTGAATTTCCTGATGACTGGAAAAAGGGAAATATAACCCCATTCCCAAGAAGTGGAAAACTGATGACCCGGGGAACTACAGACCAGTCAGTCTCACCTCTATGCCTGGCAAAATCTTGGAGCAGATTGTCCTGGAAGGCATGCTAAGGCACATGAAAAACTACACAGTGGTTGGTGACAGCCAGCATGGCTTCACTAAGGGGAAATCCTGCCTGACCAATTTGGTGGCCTTCTACAACAGGGCTATGGAACTAAAAGACAAGGTTAGAGCAGCTGATGTCATCTACCTGGACTTGTGCAAAAGGTCCACAACTGTCCCACACAACATCCTTGTCTCTAAATTGGAGAGACATCAAATTGACAGGTAGAACACTAGGTGGATAAAGAACTGGATGGATGGATGCACACAAAGAGTTGTGGTCAATGGCTCAGTGTCCGGTGGAGACCAGTAACGAGTGGTGTCCCTCAGGGGTCAGTGTTGGGACTGGTTCAAAATGTTTGTTGGTGACATGGACAGTGGGATTGAGTGCGCCCTCAGCACGTTTGCCGATGACACCAAGCTGTGTGGTTCAGTTGATACACTGGAGGGAAGGAATGCCATCCAGAGGGACCTTGACAAGCTTGTGAGGTGGGCTGATGCCAGCCTCATGAAGATTAACCATGACAATTGCAAGGTCCTAACACCTGGGTCGAAGCAATCCCAGGCACAGCTACAGGTTGGGCAGAGAAGAGATTCAGAGCAGCCCTGCAGAGAAGGACTTGGGGGTGTTGGTCAATAAGAAAATGAACATGAGCAGGCAGTGTGTGCTCACAGCCCAGGAAGCCAACCCTATCCTGGGCTGCATCAAAAGGAGCGTGACCAGCAGGTCGAAGGAGGTGATCCTGCCCCTCTGCTCTCGTGAGACCTCACTTGGAGTATTGCATGCAGTTCTGGTGTCCTCAACATAAAAAGCGCATGGATCTGTTGGAACAAGTCCAGAGGAGGGCCACGAGGATGATTCAGGGAGCTGGAGCACCTCCCGTATGAAGATGAGAAAGTTGGGGCTGTTCAGCCTGGAGAAGAGAAGGCTGCATGGAGACCTCCTAGCAGCCTTCCAGTATCTGAAAGGGGCCTATAGGGATGCTGGGGAGGGACACTTCATTAGGGACTATAGTGACAGGACAAGGGGTAACAGGCTCAAACTTAAACAGAGGAAGTTTAAATTGGATATAAGGAAGAAATTCTTTCCTGCTAGACTGACGAGGCAGTGGAATGGGTTGCTCAGGGAGGTTGTGAATGCTCCATCCCTGGCAGCGTTCAAGGCCAGGTTGGACGAAGCCTTGGGTGGCATGGTTTAGTGTGAGGTGCCCCTGCCCATGGCAGGGGGGTTGGAACTAGATGGTCTTAAGGTCCTTTCCAACCCTAACTATTCTATGATTCTATGTAGTTAAATTCAGCACCACGGGGCTTTCAACCTTTCCAATATCAGTAACTATAATGAAAATATGTAAGAAGCTTTAGTACTCCACTTCATTTGTAGATCATTTCCTTGCAAGATTTCATATATTGCTTAAATAAGCACCAGATAGGCCTTGTCCTGCTCAGATATGATTGATGGTTGATATACTCTGATTTTTAGAATGATTGGGTTTTTGAACCAACACAGCAGGAAGCCACGTTTTATAAAAATTTAATAAATCTACTTAATACTTTAAGATTCACAAAAGCCAATGTCTCTCTCACTCTGGAATATACGCTTTCATTTCTGGCAAGTCCATAGTTTACTACTGTTTTGGAGACAGACTCCCTTCTCCCTCTTCTTGTGAAAACACACACATAAGCAGATCTCACTTTGTAGGACCATTAATGCACTGCAACCAGGAGCGTGACTGCAATTTGTAGATGAAACAGTATTAGAAGCTCATCCTACCAGGAATCTTCTTTAGTACAAGCACCCCAAGGTTGGTCAAAGCCAAACCACCCCAGGAGATGCTTGGCTTCCACCAAAGGTCCATGATTATTTTACTACAAATGGTTAGCTACACTTAGTACATGGATACACTCTTTGAGAAGCACTGTAGATATACACATGTTGTAATAGAGAGGCCTCTTTGACAATGATAAATGTTACTTCTAAAAAAATATGCAAGAATATAAAATCCACTCCAAAACTTCAATTGAGAGAAAAATGTGTTTCTCTTTGTTATGCAAAAATATCCACATTTGTAGGTACTACATGCACCTGCTGCAAATATAACTTAAAATAAAAGTAATTTTCAGGTATACTGAAAACCTAATGTCATTATTGCTTTAAGTTTCAGTTTCTCTTGGGGTTGGTTTTATTGCTGTGGGTTGGGGGAGGGTTGTTTGTTTGGTTTTTTACCTGAACCACTGTAAGATGATGATGGTGTTCGCCTTGAAAAGCTTTTCACAGCAAGACTCTGCCCTCGTTGTTTCCGCCTCCAAGCTGTTCGGCATTTAGAATCTATGCTTTGCTTGATTCTGTACCAGTCAGATTCTGTTATTCCAAATTTGTAAAATAGGTGACCTGTAATTAGAAAAATAAAGGGCTGAAAATTAGTATAAATCCATATTTTTTGAGAAAATGCACAGATGGCACACAGTCACACACACACACTCGCTTTTGTTCGCAAGCAAGAACCAATGTTCAAATCTCATTAAGCAAAAGCTTAGGAGGAAGGTATGTGTGCATCAGGAAAATTAAAGAAGCCAGCTTTAAAAGCTGACAGGTGCATTACACTAAGTTTTCCCTTCCGCATTCTATACACACATTCTTGCCAAAGTTCCTATAAAATTATAACACAACTGACACATCAAATTCTACAATGATTCTTGTGCATTGTAAAATAAATCTTTATGTGGTTCAAATAAAAATAATATTTGGAAATACAGTGAAGACAATCTGGTACAAGCACAAAGATCATCACAGAAATTATGCCCAATTTATATACTTCCAAACTTATGGAGCATCTACTGTACAAAAGAAGGGGAGAAAGGATTGGTTCTGTTTAAAAACAGAGCTAATTAGGGAAAAAAAAAATCCATGAAAAGAATGTTCCTGAGAAAGTAATCTGCTCTTTCTTAAAGTTCAGAAGTCAGTCAGCAGAAGCAATCCACACAAAACATTAAATTGTAAAGAAATTTAATTAAGAACAAATTTAAGAAGACATTTGTAATATCAAAACCAAACATGAAATAGTCCAGGAAGACACCACATTCAAAAACTAGCCTCCTAAAAAACAAACAGCATGTCAATAGCTTGCACTCAGGTATTGCTAGGTTGTGCTGCCTCCCATTCTTCATGTACATCAGATTTCTTCAGAAAATTAAAAGGGTTTTTTTTGTTCACACTGTTCACAGACTCGGCAAAGTTCCCTTTGATGCCCTTTATGCTGAGACAGGACAGACTTTCACCCTCTGTTACTGTTAGAGTTTGAGAGGTTAGGGAAAGCGTTACCACCAGAAAAATCTAACTACCACATTCATGAAATAAAGACATATTTACATTAAGTGTGTAACCCAAAGAGATTTGGTTAACTGTTCCTTCCATTTTCAAATTCAACATAAATTTTAAAATGTACATAAAGAGCAGCAGGATGTCTGTCATGGTTTAAACCCAGTCAGGTAACTTGTTCACTCACTCCCAGTGAGTGGTGCCCAGCTGAGAACAATCGAGGCCCCCCCCCCCCACCGGGGCTCTCCCCTTCCCCACTCCCAGAGGAACGGGGAGGAGGATCAAAAGGGTGCAACTCCTATGGGTTGAGACAAGAACAGTCCAGCAACCATTGTACGACACAAATCACCACTGCTACTACCAACTACAACAATGATAAGAGAAAATAACAAGGGAAGAGAATACGATACCACCGGCCAAGAAACGAGTCCCACCCGGAAGCCCGTGTCCTTCCGGGTAACTCCCAGTTACCCCCCACCCTGGGCATGACGTGCTGTGCTATGGAATACCTCCCTGGCTAGCCCAGGTCAGGCGCCCCATCTCTGCTTCCTCACAGCTTCCCCTCCTCCCTGGCAGAGCATGAGCCTCACAAAGTCCTTGGTCAGGGTAAACATCACTTAGCAACAACCAAAAACATCAGCTTCACCAACACTGTTCCCAGGCTGGAAGTCAAAACACAGCACTGCACCAGCTACCACAAAGGAAAAACATGACTGCTACTGCTGAACCCAGGACAATGTCCTATTCCAAATTCAAATGATTAAACTGATGAACAAACTTACTTTTTTAATTAACAAGAATATGATGGATATTATGAAAAGCAAAGACTGCAGATTCTGTCTGCACAGAATCACGAAGATGGGCAATTATTCGAGGGTTTGGCTAACAAAATGCATTTTTTCACATAAGGGTCATACATTTGGAATTGTTTTTATTAAATGAATAGCATATGGCAAAATCTGCTGTACTAAACAGCAGAGGAAAAAATTAAGCATCTCTGAAGTTATTTCTTAATGATTCAGACTCATTTAGAATAGTTAGGGTTGGAAAGGTCTAAGGTCCTAAGATCATCTAGTTCCAATCCCCCTGCCATGGGCAGGGACACCTTGCACCAAAACATGTCACCCAAGACTCCATCCAACCTGGCCTTGAACACTGCCAGAGATGGATAAGTTTTGCACCTTCAGGCTTCAGTTCTTCAAACATAATTACACTCATGCACTGACCATACTGAAACGATTTTTAGGAGTAATTGTTTACTCATTTGACAGCGGGGGGGGGGGAGCTCCACAACTGGGATGCAGTTTCCCCCTCCACAACTCCAAAGTGTTTAGCATTGGGCAAAAGGATGCAGGAAGGGGAGAGCAACATCATCCTCAGACAAGGAAAACTTGGCCCATTACAACTGATGGGATGGCAGAACCTTGGCAACTTCTCCAGCGTCACATGCCTGTGAACATCAATCATGTCACCAGATAATTACTTTCCATAACATGGTTCTCATCCACAGGCTAAATAGCATCCAAAAAGAGATGGGGGGAGCTGTTAAAAAACTCAGAGAGAGAGGGAGGAGGGAAGGAAAATTCAGCTACCAAGCAATTACTCTGTTTTCCATTTTATTTCCACAGTTCCTTTTACTATTACACTCATACCTTTCAAACAGCTATAAATTTACAGACTACTAGGGACTGAAGTGTGCACATGCTGTAATACAAACTGCAGTCGGGGGGTACTGACAAACAGCCTCAAATACAACAGAAACCCTATTCTACTACACATACCTAGAGAAGGGTTTACTAAACCTGTGTCTGTAACCAGAATATTTTAAATGGCAAAATAGAAAAATCAAACACTTTATAGTGTTCACAAAGTCTGATTTTTTTTCTGGAAATTTTCAATTGTCAGGTTTTAAAGAAAAGAAATGCCCCACTTCCCTAGGTAGAGGAGAGATGGTTAAAGAGGATTTCTGCAAATAATATTCCATAGAAAAGAGATTATTTTATTATACTCTTCAATTAAGTTATAATATATAAACCTCAAAATTCCATGTTAATCAAATCCCTTTCTACCTGGATACTAAAAACTCAAGCCTATACTCAAGATCACGAGGAGTCTTATCTTACATAACTTTATAATAAAACACAATTGCTAATTTTACAACTGCTTTACAATGAATACCCAGAAATTGTTTACCTACAGTATGAAAATTAAATCTGTCATTAGAAGAGAGCAAGGAAATTCAGAAATACCATGAAGAACACAATTGAAAAAGCCAGACATGTTTGAGGAAACACTCCAGATGTGAAAAGCATCCACAAAGCTTGCAGTCTTCAGCGTGAGCATGTGATTAGATGATTTAGGGAATAAGGACTAACTTTAGGGACACTAAAAAAAAGTTTTATCCACGAGTGGATCGCTCATATTGCATAATTCTCCTGGCTCCAGATGCCATCATGATGTGGGTGTTACATTAATACAAATGTCAGCACATTAAGGAACCAAACTCTAAACGCTGTATTTTCATACCTTTTACAAGATAGCTGAAATAAAAGTGAGACTGCAGGCATAAATTTCTGCACACTTAAGCAACAGCAGCCTATCACCATCCCATTCATACTCCCCACAAGCCCAGTAACACCAGTCTTGCAATTACAAAGACACCATCTGTCCCAAACTGTGACTACTATAAATTCACTGAGTTCAACAGGGTGGGTTGAAATAACATCTGTCATGGTTTAAGCCCAGACAATAACTCAGAACCACGCAGCCACTCGCTCACTCCTCCCCCCGCCCCCCCACTCCCAGAGGGATGGGGAGGAGAATCAAAAGAATGTATATCCCACAGGTTGAGATAAGAAGAGTCCAGTAACTAAAGTATAATACTAAACTACTACTACTACTACCACCAATAGTAATAATAATAAGGAATAAAACAAGGGGAGAAAATATAAAACTAAAAAGGGAAAAGGAAAATAAAAAAATAAACACAAGAGATGCACAATACAATTACTCATTGCCTGCTGACCTATACCCAGCCTGACCCTAGCACAGACCTGTGCCTTCTGGGTAACTCCCCCCAGTTTATCTACTGGGCATGACATGCTGAGGCATGGAATACCCCTTTGGCTAGTTTGGGTCAGGTGTCCTGTCTCTGCTTCCTCCCAGTTTCTTGTGCCCCTCCTCACTGGAAGAGTATGAGACACTGAAAAGTCCTTGATCAGAGTAAGCCTTACTTAGCAACAACTGAAAACATTGGTGTTATCAGCATTGTTCTCAGACTGAAGTTGAAAACACAGCACTGCACCAGCTACTAAGAAGGAGAAAAATAACTGCTATAGCTGAACCCAGGACAACATCCTATCACCCACTGCTTCCCTTTTAGAATGAAAATTTCCTTTCTAATATATATTACACTATTTAGACACATCTGCTGATAACAATACTATGCAAATAGAACACTAAACCAGGCAAGAAAGCTTTCTTCAAAATGTCAAATTACTCTGTGTTGAGGAAACAGTTCAGAAGTGACCTTGTTTTAAATATCTACCTAACAGCATAAAAAGTCTTTGCACATATAGGCTCATGTCTCAACAGATTAAAGTGAAACTGAATTATTCAGTGCTTCAGTTGTTACAACTTCCTCTGTCGAGCTGAAGATCTGAACATCTCGTGGATGCAGACAGGTGGCTGGAACCACATTTAATTTTCACATTTGCCTCAAGCATACCAAGGCCTGCTCCATAAGAGAATTCACCTTTCACAAGGAATTGCTAGAAAAATCTTGCTGCTTTGGGTAAAGTATGTGGGCTCCAGTGTTTTGTTTGTTAGGGTTTTTTAAAAAGAGTTATGAGAAAGCTGTACAACTCTAAAGGCATGAGGTTTCTCTTTCTCTGTTCTTGCTCTCTGTAAAACATAGATAGAATGTTTTGCATTTTAAAAGATTTAAAGCATTTTGAAACCAAACACTACATAAGAAAAGTAAGCATATTCTGGATGGCTATATGCAGATCTGGCTGAGGCTTCATTCTGGCAATGCACTCTTCCACAAATGAAATAATAACGACCTTCCAATT